TAAAAATAAACAAAATCTTTCTAAAAATTAAAATAAAATGTCTACTGGAAAGAACGTGAATAGAGACACAGACAGATAAAACAGTAAATTAAGCATTCATTACTGAAAAATCAGAGAAGAATAAATAGTAAGAAAAGAAAACAAATCAAAATATCTTATGACTTATGGCCTAGAGATCAATAATAATAGTATATTTCGGACTGTTCATGAAGTTTTCCATGTATGTATAAGTAATGTATAGTTATAGCAACTCCTAGAATAAAACAATGCTACATTTATTAGTGCAATAAACTAAAAGACTCACATTTGATACAGTATTTCTAAGACCTTTTGGTGAAAGAGTTTTTAAAAATTTCTAGTTAAGGCTAGTGAATAGTTCAATGGACAAGATCACTTGCTACCAAGCCAAATTACCTGAGTTCAATAAATAGGTCCAAGTGATGGAAGGAAAGAATTAACTTCCATACATTGTCCTCTTACTGTCTGTGGTATGTACAAAATAAGTACATGTAATTTAAAAATTGCAGTACTTTAAAGATTCTCTGGTCAATTTGGATGATAGGAGTTCATCATGGCTGTCTTCTGGGTTTATCTCAGACTTGACCCTTGTGCACTGTCCTCAGAACAGCTACCATCCCATTCTCCCTGGTCTCTGACTTTCTCTGACATGATGTTCTACTATCCAGGAGAACTCAAATGTGTCTTATTCTGGTGAAGGGTCAGAAACTTTTTCACAAAGAAACATATAATTAACAAGGGAAGCTGCATGAGTCAAGAAATAAAACCACTGAAATATGTTGGCGTTTATAATTAAGGTAGAACAAAAGGTTCCTGCATGCTTTTTTAGCTGATGAAATTTAAATCTAATAAAAACTGCAGTTGAGTACTACGGTACTAAAATTATTTTTGAGCAAGTACATAATAATGATTTTAATATGCCTCCTAATGACAAAAACATTGGTTCAGAAAACGAGGATAACATTTTTCTTAATTGTGATTCAAAGTTAGTGTTCTCATCAGCAAAGTCAATTACAACTGTTCATGTTATCTGTGATGGGACTTTATCTATTTCATCTCTAAAAATGTCTTTTCACACATTGCTGAATGCTAGTACCAATTCACCAGCACGTGATTCTAATCATACTTAAAACTTGAAATACGTCAAAAAAATTCAACAGGATTCTTTTTTGATATCTGGCTTTTAATGTGTGTTGCATGTCACATTGATCACTTTCAACTTAATATTAGTTTGAAGCTTCTCAATTATACAGTTCAATGGATTTTCCAACATAAAATTGTCTTTTCTTCTCACATGGAAATCTGAATATTGTAGCTTGAACTCTTAAGTTTATACATATATATATGTGTGTGTGTGTATACATATATATATTCATGTTGGAATGAAAATCTTAACTCTTATTTTAATTTTATTATTAACACAATTTAGCTAAGATTATGTATATGAGTACATATGAGTGTATGCATACATGTGCCTTGAGAGGTCAGAAGAGGGTGTTGGATGCCATGAAACTGATGTGGGTACTGAGAATTGAACCTGGGTCCTCTACAAGAACAGACAGTTTTCTTAACCACCAAACTGTCTCTCCAGCCTTGGTCTTGTCCTAATTTTTTCATGCTCATGATACGAAAGGAAGCATTACTCATTATATTGTACTGCAGCATGTTTCACATGTAAACTCTGTATTGTCTTGTAATGTTAAATTGAATTTATGGAGAAAAATTTGAAAGCTCAGTAAGTTTGTGGAATGAAGTCATTTCTGCTTCACACCTTCTCCCCACCTTTAGTTCTCAGTATATAGGACACTGTTTCAGGGAGTAGAAAATAAGCACTCTCCATTTTGTTTGAAAATACCCTCTTCCTACATGTCTTACAAGCTGTTTATAGGCCATGACTTTTCAGTAATAGCAAACTGAGAATCGGACCCATAAAAGAATAACAAATGAATAACGTCACCAGCATCTTCTGCTTCATTGAAAGCAAAGAAAATCATTAACTACAATCCTATAGAGCTGGAGAGATAGCTTAACAGTCAAGAGCACTAACTGCTCTTACAAAAGATGCAGGTTCAGATCCTAACATTCTGTTATGCAGTTTACAGTTGCCTGTAATTCTGACTCCCGGGCATCTAATGCTCTCTTCCAGCCTCCAAGGGCATTAGCCACACTCGTGGTGCATACAAGCAAAACGTTCATACACATAAAACAAAAATTAAAAATAATTTCCTGCATTTGAAATGAATTTTTACTGCTTCAAATCTAGTATCATACAGATAATTAGCTACCCATAAGTAGATTTCCTTGCTGTGCAATAAACAAATGAGAAACTCGGATACTTAGCCTGCTTTTTATTTTCCCTTGCCAGTGAGGCAATTCTCCTGTGCTGAGATGGATGTGCAAAGAAAACCATGCACATGCTCTGTCTGGTGGTAGCGATGGACATGATGTTCTTTTGGCACAGCCGCAGCACCATCGAGTCATAAATGTGACCTTTCACCCTCCAGTTCCAGTGACAAAGTAACCAGCACTCTATGTGTGTCATGAAAACACACCTTTCAATGCCTGATCTTTTCCTCTTTCTATTTGTATGTTACATGTTGGTCATGCGCCAGTAGTTTGTAAAACTCATCAGGTGTTCTGACATGTACAGCATCTAAAGAGTCACTCACTGAGTTATGACTGCATCATTTGTGGGAGGTGTGTGTGTGTGTGTGTGAGAGAGAGAGAGAGAGAGAGAGACAGAGACAGAGACAGAGAGAGACAGAGAGAGAGAGAGAGAGAGAGGGTCTCTAGCAAGAATTTGCCAGTTTTTGTAATATAGCACAAAGCAAGAGTGTGTCACACACACAGTTGAGTGTGGTAAGCGACACACAAAATGAACACAAAATACAGCAGAGCATGATTCCCATTTTAGTGCTAAGACTTGAATTTCTTGTAATTTTCTTGTGTAATGAAATTTTTTCTCAATATGTGTTTTTATTTAAATTAGAAACATGCTTGCTTCACATGTCCATCCCAGTTCCCTCTCCCACCCCTCCACCCTTGCCACTCTACCAATCCATCAACCCCCCCCACCCAAACCCCCTCACCATTCCCAGGGAAGGTGAGGCCCTCCATGGGGGATCTCCAGAGTCTATCACTTCATCTGGGGCAGGAAAGAGAATCCCTCATTGTGGGATGAGCACCCAAAGTCCATTTGTACGCCAGGGATACATACTGATCTACTACCCAAGGCCCCATAGATTGCCTAGGCCTCCTCACTGACACCCACACTCAGGGGGTCTGGATCAGTTCCATGCTGGTCTCCCAGCCATCAGTCTGGGGTCCTAGAGCTCCCCCTTGTTCAGATCACCTGTTTCTGTGGGTTTCACCAGCCCAGTCTTGACCCTTTTGCTCATCAGACCTCTCTCTCTGTGACTGGATTCCAGGAGTTCAGTTCAGTGTTTAGTTGTGGGTGTCTGCCTCTGCTTCCATCAGTCACTGGATGAAGGTTCTGTTCGCCAGACTCTCTAGCAGTGAGATTGTAGACTAGTACTCCCCTGATCTATGTCTAAAATCCATGTTCGTCTTTTTGTGACTGGGTTACCTCAATCAGAATGGTTTCTTCTAGTGCTGTTCATTTGCCTGAAAATTTCAAGATTCCATTGTTATTGGTTTTTTTTTCTTCTGCTAAATAGTACTCCATTGTGTACTCTATCCACTCTTTAGTTGAGGGGCATCTAGTTGCTTCCAGGTTCTGGCTATTACAAATAATGCTGCTATGAATATAGTGAAACAGACATCCTTGATGTATGAATGTTCATCTTTTGGGTATATGCCTAAGAATGGAGTTGCTGGATCTTGTGGTAGATTGATTCCCATTTTCCTGAGGAATCTCCACACTGATTTCCAAAGTGTCTGTAGGAGTTTGCACTCCCACCAGCAGTGGAGGAGTGTTCTCCTTTCTCCACATCCTCTCCAGCATAAAACATTGATGTTTTTGATAAAATGCCCACTTCCAGGGAGGAAAAGGCCAAGGAACTAGGTGGAGGTACTAGTTATCAGACAGAGAGCAAAGGCTAAGTCAAGTGGCTATGTAAGACCCCTTTGAGAAAACACCTTACTTACTGGTGTGAAAGGCTCACAGTCTCCTAAGAGATTGACAGTGCTATTTGCTTTCCTGAAACGCAGACTAATGATGAACAATGAAACAGCCTTCTGGTTCACACATACACAAGTGCATGCATGTTTGCAAGTGTTGGAACTTGTGATTTGGTTTGGTGATATTAGTGGGCCTTTTGTTTGTTTGTTTTGTTTTCGTTTTGTGGTTTAACAGAATGGCCCTACTAAATGGTCTGCTGTGTAAAGAGGGAAGTTTAACTCTGGTCAATAAACTATAGTTAAGACAGTATTTTCTTATGGTCATGTGATGGAAATGTGTCTCAGCTTCCTAATCCATACTTTTAAGTCAGGGCTGCCTTTGCAGTGTAGGACAGAACCAAAAAGAGAAACTTTCACCTGCTCATAGGCACAGTGCCATCAACCGTAGCAGGGAAGGACAGAAAGGAAGCACAGAGGGATTTCTTTGAGGACACTTGATTTAAGGAAATGGTGAGAGTATGGGGGGAATTCTGTGGGGACTGGAGTAAACCGTTATAAATGACCCACGATTCTGGCTGGAAGGAGTTCCAGTTTCCCTTCCTCCTCATGCAGTTACCACCCAGAAGTTTGCCCACCTCATTTAGCCTTTGCATGTTAGCTTGTTTAATACTGTGGCACCTGGGAATGTATAGTGGCAGACAGTGTTAGACAGAGAAAGGACAAGACAGATTACCAGAATTCCTTGCCCCAGAAAGCAGAGGAATTCAGATTGTAGTTGGGGGGGGTATTCAATTATTTGAGTATCTTCATCTTTACTCTAGGGTTTTCTTTGTGATTCTGCAACTCTATATGAGCAGGAAATTACAGGAATCTGCTCCAGAAATTTGAAGATTTACATTTTATTTCATAGCCTTACATCAGTAGTTCTCATAGTGAGATTCAGTCTCTACATGCTCTGGAGACTTGGATAGTTCAAACTGTGTTCATCATCTAAGATAAATTTGCCTTCCCCCGCCCACTTCTATCCCATCATGAGTGTACATCACTTCCCAACTGCATGGTCTATGATATCACTACAGATGTCTGCTGTATCGAACAAAAGACCCCCAGATGTTTTCTATTAATCCTGATGTTCATGTGATCTGATAAAACATAAAACAATGCCACTCCCTAGGTTTATGTTTGCATTGGGAAATATGGCCATTTTTCATAAATAGATTACTTATACTGTGAATCAAATTATTGTCTGCCACATCAAATTTATGTGGTCTTCATATTTCTTGTAATACTTTAATTTTATATTAAAATTTTAAAAGTGTTTCAAATATCTTTTGAGATTATGATATGATTACCTCATTTGCTCCTTCCTGCTTTTCCCTCCGAACCTTCCCATGTATCCCCACCTTGCTGTCTTTCAAGCTCATGGCCTATTTTTCTCTAATTGTTGTTACATGTGTGTGTGTTTGTAAATACATCAATAAAACTACTCGGTCTGTAAAATGTTACTTGTGTGTGTGTTTTCAGGGCTGACCGTTTGGTGTTGGATGCCCAGTTGGTGTGCTCTTCGCTGGGTAAGACTATGTCTCCTGCTCTCTGTAGTCCTTAGCTGCCTATAGTTCTCTATCTAGGGTTGAGGCCCTGAGCTTTTCTCTTTCAGTCTATTGGTATCATACTTGTTCAAGCCATGTTTAGACAGACATGTTGGTGAGACTTCACGGTTATATCTTCTGACATTCCTAGGAGACACGACCTCACAGCAAAACTCTCTAATCTTCTGGCTCTTCTAATCTTTCCTTCTCCAAGTCCACAATGAAACGAATGGAAGTCTTCATGCCATGCAAACTTGTTAAGAAGTATAGCATCTTATATACTATTTTCAGGAGAGAAATGGGACAATGTCAGTAGAAATAATCACACCAGAGGACCAAGTCAATGGGAAGCTAAACAAATAATATTGTATAAGGGGATTACTAGATATCTCAAAAATACTATAGAAAAAGATTATATCAGCAAGTAACAGTAGAAAGAGTTGGCTATTCAGGTTCCAAAGCCCCAGAGATCCCCAAAGCCCTGGCCCCAGGCCATTACTACACCTGCCACTCATGTTCCTGGTTTTAGAGAAGGAGCTGTATTCCCTACATAATAGGGCCTCAGCAAAAAGCTCCAAGTCCCTGGCCCAGGCTATTACTGGCTCTACCAAGCATGTTCCTGCTTTGGAGAATGAGCCATGTTTCTTTTCCATACATCAGGGCCTTAGGGAAAGTCTTGGAATCAGTCAATCCCTCTCTACTCCATGGTAAGATATTAATGGCTCAGTCTTGTGGAGGCACTCACAGCTGCCATGAGTTTGGGAATAGAATAACCATACCATGTTCCAGAGACAACAGCCCACAGCCCTCTATCCCTTCTCCCAATTTTGACATTCTTTGTGTCCCCTTTCCACATGTAAATTTCCCATGCAGTATCCAGTCTTTTTATAAAATCATTACATTGAAAGGAACAAGGGTTGTCCACATTTTCCTTTCATAACATTGCTTTCTGTGTTAATGAAAACAGTCACCACTGTTCAAGACCAACGTGCCACGATTTTCTGTCTTCATTGAGAGGCTGTTGTGACCTTGTGGAGAGTTGTTTGAAAGTCTACCTTCCTGCTGTTTTGTGCCTGTAGATGGGAATGGTATAAAAGACATAATAAAAATGGGCAGTGCCATTTGTACGACCTCATTTTTCCAAATTATAGGGTAAGTTTTTGGCATATAAGATGAAACATATTAACAAATATCTATAAGCTTTTAGTATAATTAAATTAAAAGCAACAACAGCTGTCAAATTCATAAATATAGTTCCCTGTCATTGTAGTGACTAATTTATACTAAATACCTACTCTACATCTCTTTTTGAGTTCAAATGGTTTTCTCTCTTCTCTGTATAAATCTATGAATCATGAAGCTGAAGCATAGTGTCTATATGGTCCTTCACATGAATCTTTGATTTCCTGACTCAGGTCTTCAGTCTTTCTATAGAAAACATCTCAGCATAGCTAATTTATTCCACATTCTACTGCTTTGAAATTCCACAAGGGTTTCCTGTGTTTTGTTGGCCTCTACTTTCTTCTGTTTTCCTCCCCCCAGTTCTTCTGTTCAGTAATATCAAATGGCTGTGAGGACATTTGATATTTCCAAAGAGAGAATTTTCTTGTTGAGGAAAAAAAATTTGGAAACAGGAAATCATTTTTAGTTGACCACATTTGGAGTCCTGAAACTAAAAGGTTTGGAAAGTTTTGTTACTTTTTGATGTGAGCACAATGCAGGCTCCCATACTTAGTCTGGAAGTCTTCTTTGGAGTCACTCATTTTGAAACTGATGCTTATAATGTTTTTCAGAATGTAGTCTTGTGTGTGTGTGTGTGTGTGTGTGTGTGTGTGTAAGAGAGAGAGAGAGAGAGACAGAGACAGAGAGACAATAAAGCACTCTATTCATGTATTGAGTCTGTCTATGCATATCCTTCTGTAAAATGAGCCATGGATGCAAAAGATTAGAACTATAAATTATACATAAATAAAATTAGAGTAATAATTCACAGTGATATGTAAGATAAAGAAAGTTATTCTGACACTTCTCAAAAATTATTTTTTATTAGAAAAAACTTTATTTTGGTTTTTCGAGACAGGGTTTCTCTGTATTGTTTTGGAGGCTGTCCTGGAATTGGCTCTGTAGACCAGGCTGGCCTTGAACTCAGAGAGATCCGCCTGCCTCTGTCTCCTTAGTGCTGGGATTAAAGGCATGTGCCACCGATACCCGGCTATTAGAAGTTTTTAATTAACATACTGGGATGGCTCACTGCTTTTTGTTGTTGTCTTGTCAACCTGACACAAGACAGAGTCATCCAGGAAGAAGGACCCTGTATTAAGGAGTCACTTTCATCTGACTAGTCAGTAGAAAAGTCTATGGGGCATGATTAACAGCTGATGTGAGAGCTCCAAGACCACAGTGGGCAGTGGCACCCTTGGTCATTCAATCTTGGATTGTATAAGAAAGCAGGTGGTGGTAGTACACACCTTTAACCCCAGCACTGGGAAGGTAGAGACAGGTGGATCTCTGTAAGTTCAAGACCAACTTGGTCTACAAAGTGAGTTCCAGGAAGTATGGTTCACATGAAGAATAATTCCCACCTACTCTGGCCAGTTGAGTTTGGACTTGCCTAAGAAAGAATGGTAACTCTACACCAGATGCCAGGAGCTTAAGCATCCCAGCATCAGTGGTGCTCAGGAGAGCTTGCCCTAAGGAGCCTGAAGCTAAAGAGTATAACCAGCTTCTGGGCTATGAAATGCACTGAAGAGAAGGATGAGCTCTCTGCCATTACACAAGTCAAACTTTCAGTCCTACAGGAAGCTCTGACATGAGGGCTGGTTGGAAGACTTCTCTGAGACATGCTTCTTCTCCATTGAAATTTCCTGTCATGGAGGTCTAAAGTACTAATCTAATTAATCTTTATCAATAAAAAAATTGGGAGTCAGATATCAGGATAAGAACCTGAAATATCAGAGAAGCAGGGAGCAACCACCTGTCACTTCCTACCTTTCCTCCACCCAAAAAGGTCAAGATCCGCTCTCTGGATACTCTTACTACTTCCTGTCTCCTCTCAATCTATAGTCCTCTAAACCTCTACGGTTAATTTAAGTCAGGGGCTAGCTCTGCCTTCTGATTCCAAGAAAGCTTTGTCAGAACACAATCAAAATTTCACACCACAAAAGTCCTATCTCTAGCATTCTCTATGGTGTCCAAAGTGAGTAAGATGTGTTAGAAGCCAGGATGATGGCACTGACCATTTGAGCCTCATGGGAATGGAGGGTCAATCAGCATTTTGAAGGTTATTAGAAACTTCTCTACTGGGAGATGAGTGTGGTTGGAGCCACGTTGAGAATGGAGGGACATCTGAAAAGCAAAGGAAGGGAAACTTTTGTATCCTTTGCCAACTGCAGTTGTAAAGTGTAAACCCCAGTGCACAGCTCCCAGCCCTCTGCTGTGTTGTGAAGTTTATAAGGAATAGATGTGGAACTGAAGAAACAAGTTGTGGACGCAAGGGAAGATGAGTCATCTTTGTGAATGCAAGTTAGAGGCTTTTGTGGCATCACCTTGAGCTCAGTATAACTACTATATTGTATCCTTTTTGGTTCAGTTTCGAAGACCCGGAATTTTAGTTCTCAGCTTGTAGGGTTGGAGGTATGAACTGACCCCCCTGAGTCTTAATCCACACAAATGTGGGTTATCTCAGCCTCAGGGATTTAACCACAGGAGAATTTTTAAGCACTTACTACCGAATGCTCAATAAATTACACTGGGCTAATTACAAAGGGGAAATGCCTAAACCAAATCCAGAGTTTGAATGTCATAATGTTTTCTTGTAGGGTTCCCTTGGTCGGAAACTCTGCTGATGGTCACTTTTTCCATGTCATGAGAAGCACCTCCATTCAGAAAAGACCCATCGATGTAGAGGTTGTTTTAATCAGAGTACAGTAAGATTCAAGTCAGGATTAGCTGACGCTCACCCAGTGCTCTAGCATCTGTGACTTTCTGTCATAGGCCACAGTTCTTCTCAACAAAGTTAGAAGGATAGCTAGTGCTGTCTGGTAAACTGGCAATTGCACCCAACACTGTGGTCAGGTGAAACGGTATCTTCATTTGGATCACTGCTTACCAAAGAGCTTAGGTTGTCTGCTTCAAATTACAGCCTCAGAGTTTCCTTGGTTTGTGCTAGAGACGTCTCTTCCACGTCCAGTGTTCTCAGTGCCAACTTAACTGCCTAACCTCTTTATTCTGAGCAACTACTTTTCAGCGAAATACCCAGTGCCCTTACATTTGAAAATAGTGAGCTTAAGATAGTGGGGGCTGCCTGGTTACTAGAAGTGTAACACAGAAAAATGAGGTCAGATAAAATAAAATTGGTACCTCTAAAACCTCAAGAGATGGTGTCTAATTTCCCCCATGATAGTCAAGGAAGGCTCTGATCTTAGCCTCCATGTGCTGAAATGCCTTTGCTAATGCCTTTAGGATGCTGTCTTTCTTTAAAAGCTGATTGTCACAGAATCCTCTTGTTTTTCATTAATGAAAATTTAGAAGACATAGACTGTAAACAGGAAATTAAAGCCTCTACAGTCTTATATTCTTCAACAGTTTTGTGGATACAATTATATTTGTCTCTCTGGCAAAAATCTATATTCTTCCCCATGAGTCTGTGTTTTTCCTACAGTTATCTGTTAAGCCAATCCTGAGAGAGCATGCCTTCGATTTTCCAATTACTACATTTTTTTGCCTCCCCCACAGTGTGTGAATCAAGAACTACCTTTCACAAATGAGAAAACTGAAGCAGAGATAAGCTGAGCAAAGACTGAAAGTCATATATCTAACACTGGAGGATTGATAGTCACAGTCAGGTCTGTGTGACTTTAATGACCACTTTAACTTCTACCTCCAACACTGTAAAGGAGGTCTCGAGCATAAAATGCTTGAGGAACCATTCTCTACAAGGATGTCAACTGTCTATTCATTTATTTGTTTGTTATGAAGCTAAGGATGCACTGGATCCTCCTGCCTCTACTTCCTGAGTGCTATAATTACAGATGTGTTCTCTCATATTATGCAGCTGCAAATCAAACCCAGAGTCTTGCTTACACTAGGCAATCATCTTACCAACCGAGTTACATCCCCAGACTCCAGTCTTTGGTGACTGAGTCTTGCTATATATACCATCCAGGCTAACCTAAAATTCCCCATATAGTTCAGAATGGCCTCAAATGTGTTATCCTCCTTCTTCAGTCTTTCCATTGCTGGAATTATAGGCATGCCCTGTTTAATAACCACATTTTAAAGAGGAAAAACAAAATCGCAATTGCTATATATCATGAAGTCACTTAACCTGCAAGCCTATAGCTAAAACCAGACCACTGGAACTTAGATAGTATCCCAATCAAATGTTGCCTTTCACCGTTAGTGACATCTGGCAGCCCTGATTGGGCACATGCATCCATTTCTTGTGTGTGCAGAAGTAAGCAGATGTGCAGACACTGTCAAACTCAGAGAAGCTTGTCCTAAACTTGACATTCAAATTCTCAGGGGAAATATTGTCATTGGACTTGTATGCAGCTCTCAGAAGAGATCAGAGGGTTTCAATGATTTTGTTAAACATATGGGCAAGAAATAAGAAACAGGCTGTAATTCAAGTGTATTTATGATAATTTCAAATGAACTGGAATCCTTGTCTGCAAGTTTTCCTGGCTACAGGATTATGGATTATAATGGACAATTTTGCTTGGGTAGAAGACTTCACCTGTTTCAGTAACTTGTTTTGCTCGCTGTCTTTTCTGCCTTTGCTCCCCTGAAAAGCTGAGGTGAACACAGATCTGTTGACTTTTGTGAGGGACAGTGAGCCATGGCAAGAATCTAGGACTGCACTGCCTCGTAGTTTCATTTAGCAGATGTTAGTTATTTTTCAAGTATAATGGATTAATTACAGAAATCTGTAACTTGTGGGTTTATTTTTTTCTTAGTGTTAGGTTTTACATATATTTCTCACCTTGCTATATAGAAGCTACATTTTTGTCTTTTTTTTTTTTTTGAGACAGGGTTTCTCTGTGGCTTTAGAGGCTGTCCTGGAACTCCCTTGGTAGTCCAGGCTGGTCTCGAACACACAGAGATCCGCCTTTCGGATCAGAAGATAGAAGCTACATTTTTAAAAGCTCTCAAAGCATAACTACTTTAAAAACATCGTTCTTTGATTTTCATGCCATCCTTCCTTATGCTAAGTTCTTGTCCCTCTTACATATGAAGTGTTCTCATGTTCTCCTTTTTCAGAAGTTGTAGTATTTTCAATTATGAGTCATAACTCTACTGCTTACTAGCCTTGTGGCTTTGATATCAAAGTATTAAAACATATTTTTGTTTACTCTGTCATTTCAGGGCCTGATCCAGACAGCTGTAAATCACCATGCTTAAAACTGCAGAACAAAACAAGCAACTAAAATCATCGAGTACAGAAAGGGGAAAAAAAAAGATGAAGTCATATGAGTACTGGAGAATCAGCAGATGGCTCCAAATCCTGCTGTCCCTTAGCTGGCCTGTGACCTTGGCCAAGTCACTTGTGCACAAAGTTCCCAACATCTGTCAGGCCTTTCTCTCCCGGTCTTGTAACATAAGGCATTGTTTGTGAAAACCTCCTGTAAAGTCTCTAGTTGCATAGAGGGTGTCCATTAGACCCTTCACGCTGCGGGATCAGGAAAAACAAACAAAAGCCCTGTTATGTACACAGCATCCATGTGCACAGGCTTTCTCAAAGCTATTTCCTGAATTCCTTCCTAAGCAGGCACACATCAGTCTTTGCTCTGGTGTCCAGAGGAGGAATCAGAATGAGAAAACCATGCCCACTACCTCAATGAACCATGGATAGAGAGAGTCCACGTGGGAAGAGCAGTCTGGCCATGCTCCTGTGTTGGTGTCAGGAGAGGATGGGGAGGGATGCGCAGAGCCTTCCTGTGGAGAAGCAGAGGGAGGCAGAACTGGCGGGACAGATAGTACGAAGGGAATGCCTGCCAAATGACGCGCTGTGTTAGCACATCCTACTTCAAGGAAGGCCGCAGAAGGATTGGGAGCGTGAGGAAGGTTTGGTAAGAACTCTGAAGTCTGTCTTCCGACCAACCCAGTTCTAATCCAAATTGGCCTTTTTAGCCAATGTTTTCTTAGGCAACACTTACTGGACACGCATGGCGCAGTGGAAAAAGTGTGGGCCTGGAGTCAAGGGAGGAACTGTGGAATGTGGGGCCTGTTTCTGGACCTGCCATCGAGCCAGCGTAGCAGGCAAAGCCTTCTGTCCAGCCTGGCTCTTTCCCAGCGCTTCTGGAGCCCTTTCTGCCACATTTTTGCTTCGCTGAATTCTTGTCGATGCTCCCTCAGGTTAAGAACACGAAAATAGATTAAAAGGTGTTTCCGTCCAAAAATCTTCAAAGGGGTTTGAAATTGTCTTGTCTGCTATTAATTCTTTCCCCTGCTCTTTTATTGCTCAATCTCCCTTGCCTGGTCATGTGGTTTCTCAGCTTTGAGTGTGCTGGACCAGAGGCCCATGATTACATTCTAAGTAACCGCTTCCTGTCCGTGTTCCTCAACTGAAAGCCTTTTCTTGCTAGCAAATTCCAAGTCCTGCTTCATACTTTTTCACCCTAGGTAAGCTCTTAGGCTTTAAAAAATACTTTCAGCCAAGCTTTTATGTGGAGAGTTTGAAAATAATTTTTCTGTCTCTTGAAATTTGTGTTAAAGACGTTTTAGGGCATGACAAAATTTTTAATTCTAAAACTATCAGTGGATTTCATTCTCTTTTATTTTTCCAATAGCCCCTTATTGACAATAATACTTCTCTTCCCTTCCTTTCCACCCCTTACCTCTTTTATATTATGTCAAGGAATACAACTACCCCCTCCAGTTTCCCAAAATGAAAAAGTTAAAGCAAACTGGAGTTTTCACATATTCTAGGCATTGATCTCAACTTCTGGGTAGTATCAGGAACTTGTCATCCCAGACACACTTGCAGAGTTGGGACAATGTTCAGGTTTTTGTTTTGTTTCATTTCTTTTTGAGACATGGTTTCCCTGTGTAGCTTTGAAGTCTGTCCTGGAACTCACTCTGTAGACCAGGTTGGTCTGGAACTCACAGAGATTCACCTGCCTATGCCTGTTGAGTCCTGGGATTAAAGGCATGCACCACCACAGCTAGGTTCACAACCAAAAATATAAGAGACAACGTTGTTTAAACCACACTTCACACAATCTAAGGAGCACATGAAGGAGGAAGCTACTCCAACTCTGGAGCTGATGCCCATCATCTTCTTTGAAGTAAATTGGTACTGCCAGGAACAGATGTGTCTCATTGTCATGAACAACCCCTTTTTAACAAAACATCTTAAATGCCATATTCTGTGGGTCTTTGAGTGTTTGAAAATCATCTGTCTAAAACATACCCTTTTAACCTTGAAAACAAACCTAATGTGACTACAAACTTGATTATAGATTAACTACTAACCTCATTTCTTAATTATACATTGCAATTTTAAATGAGCCGCTTAAGCACAATACCCCAAACAAGAGCAGAAACATACATAGTGTAAGAAAAGTAACTAAGTTTGTGTCAATATACCAAAATCAATGTCAATGCAAAACATTTGAAATTAATAGCTGTCTTTTACCCCACATTCCTATATTCCCCTGAACGAAGACAACACACCAACGACCACCCACCCCATTGCTTGGAAAATGGGGGCACTGTGTTCTCCAGACTGCTTCCTGTTGTCTGTGAGTGAAGCCCTGAGAAAAAGTCAGATATTTGACAAGTCCTGGTGAGACCAGCAGTAACCTATGCTGATAGATATCGCCTGTCAAGTTTCAGGAGGTTTTCCTGGTCACACCTGATCCATATTAACCTGGAAGGAAACCACAGCCTCTCACTTCCTGTGGGAACAAAAGCAAAACCTCTTCTCCAAAGCATTTTGACTTCCATTTGACAACTACACTTTTTTACTTCCGCCTTGAAGTTAAGGCATTCCTAAAGTATATAGGCTGGTTCATTTCAGGTGTCCCTCTTTCTGTCTATACCCATATTCTTTCTTTCTTAAGCCTATGCACATTATAAAATACACTGGAATCTGATTAGAGGCTTTTCCCATCTGGATCTGTCTTTACTTCATATCTCTTAGCCTTTTTTGATCATGTGAGCAAACTTTGCACTACTAAGCTACAGCTGGGTCCTCTGTGTGGCCTTATCAGCTGGCTCTGTCCTGCCAAGTCTAAAGCTCACAGCCCAGTCAGAGGTACTTTTGACCAGGAACTACATCCAAACCCCCAACTCTGGAATGCCAGTGCCCTGTACTGTAGCAGGCATTTTTTAACTTAATTTTTTGTTTGTATTTATCATGAAAAGATTGCTCAAGGGTTCCTTGTCTAGCAGAAAATCTGTATCCTCTTTTTATCAGCTTCTTTGGGCTCTACATGGAAATTCTGGCCCATGTTGGGTGCCAAAATATGATGTTGTTGTTGTTTTCTGCTCTTTTGACTCTTTTAGGGGCCCATCACCCAGCTCCTAAATAAATACACAAAGGCTTATTCTTTCTTATGAAGGCTGGGCATTAGCTAGGCTTATCTCTAGCCTGTTTTTCTTAAATTATCCCATCTACCTTTTACTTCTGGGCTTTAATCTTTATTCTATATACCTTTATTTACTTCTTACTCTATGGCTTTCTGTGTAGCTGGGTGGCTGGCTCCTGGAGTCTTCCTCTCCTCCTCCTTTTGCTCCCTGATCGTCTCTTCCCAAATTTCTCTCTTTATTTATTTTCTCTGACTGCCAGTCCCACCTATCCTTTCTCCTGCATGGCTATTGGCCATTCAGCTCTTTAGTGGACTAATCAGTTGTTTTCAACAGGCAAAGTAACACAGCTCCACAGAGTTAAACAGATGCAACATAACAGAATGTAACACATCTTTACATCATTAAACAAATATTCCACAGCATAAACAAATGTAACACATCTCAACTAATATTCACAACACAGGACTGAGAACACAGCTCTGTGAAACAACTGTGGATAAGGCACTTTTGATGGCCATGCCTTGTGGCTAATCTGCTGACTGACGTAAAACTATTTAGGAGGAATACCTTGAAGTATGCTTCCAGACAGATTTAATTGAGGAGGCATAATTCACCCTGAAAAATGGCTGGTAGTTGATGGGGGATGTCCTTCTGTATATATGTTTCTCTTATTGGTTGATGAATAAAACATTGTTTGGCAAAAGACAGGAAGATAGGCAGGATGAGGAGATGAGCAGAATTCTGAAACAGGTAGGTAGAGAAGACCGTGAAACAGTTGCCATGTAAGGACTGGGAAGAAAAGACACACCAGGTGTTCTCTGGTAAGATAACACCATGTGGAAATACAAGGATTAATAGAAATGGGTTAATAATTAAGATAGAACTAGCCAATAAGAAGCCCTAGCCACCAGCCAACAATTTTATAATTAATATAGTGTCACTGTGTGTTTATTTGGGGTTGAGGTGGCTGCAAGACCAGGCTGGTGGGAAAGAACCTCCGCAACAGGCAGCATCTCTCAGGTTGAGATGCTTGACTTAATTAAAAAAGGAGAAAATTAGCATTAGAAGAATATTATTAGCATTCCTCCCCTCTCTGCTTCCTATTCTGCTAAGATGTGACCCAACATCTGCTGCCATGAATGGGATCTGGTCCTGTTGTCATGTTTTCCCATAGTAACTAGATTCCTGAAGTATGAGTAAAGCAAACCTTTCCCTTATAAAGGTATTCTTGTCAGACATTTGGTTACAACAACCACAACAAAATAACAATATACTATGGTACTGGAGTGTGCTATAATGATATGGGGGTCATAAATGGATATAGTAGAGTCAAGTGCAAAGTTTCTTTCTCATACTTACTTGAATACATGTTATCTAGCAATACCATTTGAGAAATAAAGATGGTATAAATACCGTTAGTAACTTGAGTCTTTCAATCCTTATATAATTTGACTTTTGGAGTTATATAGGAACCAGATAAAGTCTATGACATGTAAGGACATCATGGTTATTCAAATTACCTCTTGTTGCTCTGAATAAAATCCTAACAGAAATGCAGCATCTGTGACTATTAGCTTCTCTGACAGCATGATATAGAATCATTTAACTACATACAGCCTCAGAGAATACAGAACTATGAACACACAGTTAAGAATGTTACACAGAAAACCAGAAAGTCTCCCAAGAACTTTGAAATACCTTACTCTCCTATCATCACAGAGTAGATATAGCTGACAAGTTAGCTCCAGGGTTGATTATAAGGGTTGAACAATTATAGCTCTGATTAAATATTGGAGCTGTTAAAATTCTTCTACTAAGAAACAGTCATTATTAAGAAGCTGTGCTGTCTTGTCTCACTGGATCAGAGTTTCTTAAAGCCATGGTTGAAGCTACAGACAATGACTCTTGAGATTCCTTTAATTCTTTCTTGACTTACAAGCCAATAGTGATCTTCTTCAAACCTATACCCACAGGCTCCTGAGAGTTACAATATCCTGGACATAAGAGAAGAAATTAATTTTTAAGTTAACCCACTGGAGGAAAAAAACTTGAACTATGAGGATATGGAATTGGGTAGTGGAATCGGCAGTTAGGACTTGTTACCCTACTGGTTATCTATAGAAAGAAATTGTGGATACTAAATTTTGCAGAGCTCCATCATTCTTTCTATTCCTTTTCTCCATTGCTTTCTTGTATGAGGATTAATTGTACTAGCTTCAGGCAGGAATGGGACTCAGTTGATCCTGTCCCACAGAGGAATGAGAGCTGATCAATCAGATATTTCTTGAATGCAAGCACAGGTTTTTCACCCAGGTAAAGCAACCGGTGGTAGAGTGTCTTTGTTAGGTCTACTACTGCTACAATGAAACATCATGATTCAAAGCAAACTGAGGAGGAAATTGCTTATTAGGCTTATACTTACATATTGTAGTCCCTCATTGGAAGAAGTGAGAACAGGAACTCAAACAGTACAGGAACCTGGAGGCAGGAGCTAATGCAGAGGCCATGGAAGGATGCTGTTTACAGGTTTGCTCAGACTGTTTTGTGTATTGAACCCAGGACGACCAGCTGGGGCTTCCCTCAACAATCACTAATTAAGAAAATTCTTTACAGACTTGCCTACAGTCTTATCTTAAGAAGGTCTTTTCTTGTTTTTTCATATAAAGTTGATTATTGTTCTTTCAAGGTATATTGATGGGGATTGCATTGAATCTGTACCTTGCTTTTGGCAAGATTGCAATTTTTACTATGCTAATCCTACCTATCAAAGAGCATGGGAGATATTTCCATTTTCTGGTGTCTTCTTGAATTTCTTTCTTTGAAGACTCAAAATTCATGTTATACAGGTTTTTCACTTGTTTGGTTAGCATTAACCCAAGATATTTTGTGTTGTTTGTGGCTATTGTAAAGAATGATGTTTTTCTGATTTATTTCTCAGCCTAAGACCCATGATAGCCAAAATAGCCCTGTATAATAAAAGAACTTCAGGAGGCATCACCATCCTTGACTTCAAGCTCTATTATAGAGCTATAGGCCTGAAAACAGCTTGGTATTGGCACAAAAATAGACAGGTAGACCAATGGAATCAATTGAAAATCCTGATATTAACCCACACACATACAAAAAGCTGATTTTTGACTAAGAAGATAATATTATACAATGGAAAAAAGAAAGCATCTTCAACAAATGGTGCTGGCATAACTGGATACTGTCATGTAGAAAATTACAGATAGAATCAGGTCTATCACCAAGCACAAAACTTAAGTCCAAATGGATCAAAGACCTCAACATAATCCCAGCCACACTAAACCTCTTAGCAGAGAAAGTGGGAGGTGTCCTTGAACGAATTGGTGTAGGAGACTTCTTCCTGAACATAACACCAGTAGCACAGACACTGAGATAGACAATTAATAAATGGGACCTCCTGAAACTGAGAAACTTCTGTAAGGCAAACGACACAGTCCACAAGACAAAAACGTAGCCCACCAAAAGGGAAAAGATATTCACTAACCCCACATATGACAGAGGGTTGATCTCCAAAATTTACAAAGAACTCAAGAAGTAAGTCTCCAAAACACCAAAGAATCCAATTATAAAGTAGGGTACAAAACTAAATAGAGAATTCTCAATATAGGGGTCTAAAATGGTTGATAGACACTTAAGAAAGTGCTCAGAATCCTTAGCCATCAGGTAAATGCAAAGCAAAACAACTCTGAGATACCATCTTACTCCTGTCAGAATGGCTAAAATCAGAAACACCTATGACAGTTATGCTGGAGAGGATGTGGAGAAAGGGGAACACTCCCTCGACTGCTGGTGGGAGTGCAAACTTGTACAGCCACTTTGGAGATAAGGTTGGAGATTCCTCAGGAAAATGGGAATCAGTCTACCACAAGATCCAGCAATTCTACTCTTACTCATATACCCAAAAGATGCACATTCATACAACAAAGACATCTGTTCCACTACATTCATAGCAGCATTTGCTATTTGCAATAGCCAGAACCTGGAAGCATCCTAGATGCCTCTCAGCTGGAGTAGATAGAGAAAATGTGGTACATTTACACAATGAATACTCCTCAGCGGGGGAAAAAAAAACAACGGAATCTTGAAATTTGTAGGCAAATGGATGGCACTAGAAGAAACCATCCTGAGTGACGTAACCCAGTCACAAAAAGAGAAACATAGTATGTATTCACTCATATATGGATTTTAGACATGGATCAGAGGAGTGCCAACTACAATCCCACTGCCAGAGAGTCTGGGAAACAGGGAGGACCCTAAGAGAGATATGCAAGATACCCCAGAGAAGAGGAATGGGGCAGGATCTCCTGAGTGGACTGGGAGCATGGGTGGAGGGGTGAGGAAGCTGGGGAAAAGAGATGGGGAGAAAAGGAAGGGAGAAAAAGGCATGGGGGAGCAGGAAGGTTTGAGTCTGGGGAAGAATAGAGTATGATGAGAGACACTGTAATAGAGGGAGTTATTATAGGTTTGAGGAGAGATCTGGCACTAATGAGATTTCGAGAGATCTACAATGATGATACCATCTGGCAATCTAAGCAATAGTGGAGAGGCTACCTTAAATTCCCTTCCCCGATAATGAGATTGACGACTACCTTGTATGCCATCCTAGAGCCTTCATTCAGTGACAGATGGAAGCAGAGGCAGACACCCACAGCTAAGCACTGAACTGAACTCCTGGAATCCAGTGACAGAGAGGGAGGACTGATGAGCAAAGGGGTCATGACAGGGTAGTGAAACCCACAGAAGCAACTGACCTGAACAAGGGGGAGCTCATGGTCACAAGACTGATGACTGAGAGGCCAACATGGGACTGATCCATACCTCCTGAATGTGGGTTTCAGTGAGGAGACCTACGCAATCTTTGGGGCCTCGCGTAATAGAGCAGTATTTACCCCTGGCATACAAATGGACTTTAGGAGCCCATTCCACATGGAGGGATGCTCTCTCAGCCGGGACACATGAGGGAGGGCCGGGATGATATGATAGACTTCGGAGATTCTCCATGAAGGGCCTCACCCTCCCTGGAGAGTGGAGTGGGGATTGAGTGGGGGGCTGGGAGAGTTGATAGGAGGCAGGGGAGGGAGAGGGAGCTGGGATTGACATGTAAAGCAAGGTTGTTTCTATTTTAAATATATATAAAAGAAGGTCTTTTCTTAATTTGGTCCCTTGTTCTCAGATAACTTTAGCTTGTGTCAAGTTGACATAAAACTATTCAGCTCAGAGGATAAAGACCTAATTTGTCTGCACAGCAAAACTCCCTCCACACCCATGACTTCTAAGGAGGACCCTAGCAGAGCTTGAAAGTAGGGAAAAGTGACACCAAGGGGCTTGGTGAGGTTATCTGGGGCTGCCTTTGCTCCATGGAGAATGTCTGTCTCTCCAGTTAGCCTCTGTTTTTGCCTGTTTCCGCCATTTACCTCTAGCACAGGGTGGGAGAGGAGATAGGACTCTCTTTATTGCTGTTAGTGCTCTGGGTCCCTGTATTTTTCTAGCAGTTTCCTAAATTCCATTCACATCTTGACCATTTGTCTCTTTGTAAATGACCCCTCCTTAAGTTCTCTGAAGTGCCTGAACCATCTGTTTCCCGTGAGGAAGGTCTCCCACTGACATTTAGATGGCTGATAACAGACATGCCAAAACCAACTTTAGAACACTCGGAGGCAAACTTGGCAAGCTTCATGATTAGAAAAAAATTTTTTTAAAGTTCACTAAGAATTTTCCTTTATTGTGTATCTTTTGTAGGAAAGATATCACTGGGTCATCTAAGAGAACACAGGTTTTGGCCTCCAGTCATTTATGAAATGGCACTGCGCTACTGCTGACATTTCACTAGTGTGGCTATAGAAGCCAGCCATGGAAAAATGGGGTCTAAAGCAATGCTTTAGAGGTGGTGCCTTCAGCTGCTTCGATTTCCAAACTGTCTAACACTACACATGTGCCAGTGAAGATGGCAACTTCTTGAAACCTTAGAAAGGCCTAACTAAACCATCACTTGATCAGTGTAAACCCACTTCCCATAATAATCTTTCATGTCCCCTCTTCTCCTCATCTTATATTCATGCACTCACTCCATGTCAGCTTGACATTCTATAAATTGTATACTTTGAGAATTTTCAACATGATGGTGAATTTTTATAGGTCCACCTGCTGTTACTTGTTGCACCTGCTGTGCGGCCTGCATCCGAGAATGTAGCGAGGTGGTCGGGATAGATGACACAGAGACCGGTGGTTGCTTTAAGAAAACTTTATGCTTCCCAAGTCAGCTTAGGAGGAGACCCCAGTCCGCTTAGGAGAGCTCTCAGGAGAAGTCTCTGGCGAAATCTCTGGAGAAGTCTCTCCAAGAAAAAAGAGCTTCCCTTTTTAAGGACTTTTGCCATCCATTTACATACCATTCTTTCCACTTCTCACCCTCCTGGCTGGTGGTTTAATCTCCGGCCCCAGAATCCCGGAGACACCACAGGGGGCAGGGACAGGAAGAGGCATCTAGCCGTAGGAGGTATGAAAGGCATGGTATTTCAGTGAGCCAGCCCTTATCTGAGCCCTATCAAGCTTTAAAGCACTGAATTGTTTTCAGTAAACATTACATAGATGCCTGCTCCCAGGCCGAAGGGGAAGTGGGTTTCTGCTCAAGGTCTGGTGTCCCCACAGTTACTTTATTTTTCCGGTGGCTAGTGACAATAAGAGCATGTAAATCACTGGGAATTAAATTCTCTGTCTAGTCATACATCTACTTATGAGCTAGTGAACTCTACCAAACTATGGAAACATAGACCCAGTAAGTAAAATCTATTAGGTTCACTGGCTCTTACCTAAAAACTGAAAAAAAAAACAAGCAAAAATAAAAGAAATTTCTCATGTTAGACACAGTTAGCAGTTCATCTTTTATCACCTCTTAGCTTTCACAAGTGTTAGTTTAGGTACTGGTGGTAAAAGAAAAAGATAAAGCAAAATAATGCATATATCTTTTTCTGAAGTGTCTTGAAGATCTAGGAACTGTTGTTTGTTAGCTTAGCAGCTACACCTGAATCTACTGATATTTTAACTACCATCTGCAGTCCTTAGCCCCTGAAGTCAGTGCCCTGACACTCAGGATGTGGCCTGGTGGGACTTCTGGTCCAGTCAGCATGGGCTTTGCCACTACTGCCAAATGTAGTTTTTAACTAAGTCTCTATTATTCTATTTGCCAATAAAGACTTGGGAGTCAGATGTTGGGGTGAAAACCTGCTAGCTCAGAGAGGTCAAGGAGCAAACAGCTGGTCTTCCTTTTTGGCTGGAGACGCAGCAAGAGAAGTGTCTCCCCCACCTTCCCAAACAAAAAAGGACCACCAAACACCAAGTCCCTCTCTACTCCTTCCTGGGTGTCACCCTATCTATCTTCCTGACTCCTCCATACTCACTATGGCTGATTCCTGCCATCTAGTTTTCTGGCTTTGCCCCCTGATTCAAGGGTGATTTTATTAACACAATCTTCGGGTTTCACAGTGCCATCAAATATCCCACAACAGG